TGATTGATAACTTTTTATTTAAAATCAGAACAAACTACGTATCAGGATTCTGCAAGAAAGTATGCACTCTGTTTCCACCGAACATCTTCTGGGAAGGAATCAGCTACTATGACGTAAGTAATGATACACGAAAAGGATGCTCAATGGCTTTTTTTATTCTTCAGCAAGCAGTACTGGAGAGTTTGACTTGCTGACTTCCTCAAAAGTTTCTTTTTAAACCAGGTCCTATTTAAAAAAAGCCATTTTTACTCAACGGATTAATATCTAATAGATTTCGAAATTCGCGAAGTAATAGTTTCCTGCTATTTCGCAAGTTTCAAAACCTGCTAGCTTCGAAGATAACTGGTGTCGTGATTAGAACCCTTTTTTACAAATGGACGGAACTGACCTGTTCTTTATATCCGGATGCTACGTATTACCTAATGCACTATCTATTCTTGTGCTGCAGAAACAGACTGGGAGGACTTTGATTGTGTCTTGTTAAAGCAGAACACTTTTTGGCTGTCCCCCCTAGACAGTATGTATTACATTTCTTTACAAGCTACCTTTTTTAAGCAGTAGTTGGATTTCTGACGGCTTCTTGCCGGCTTTTCGCTGATTTTGCACGGCATTAAGATGAAGGAATTCTATTGCTTCTGGTGGCACTGCTAGTTTCTACAGAAAACGTATGTAGTCACCCCAGTTGCTACGTATGCAGCACTGAAGCGTAGTGGTCACCGTTCAAAGTATGCGGAGATAGAGAAGATGAGGAGTTCGTTTCCATTTTGGTCCATATCTTTTGCCAAAAGGGCTCCATTCGCGACAGTTTCAAAGTCAGTTAATTATAATTTTAAAATCAGTGCGGAATTTTAAAATACTTTTTGAATTTCGAGTATGCTAGAAAATTGATTTGTCTTCCAGTGTCTGACGGGTACAATGGATTATATTATTGCGTTGTTGGAGAAAGTATCGTCTGCGCTCATACCGCAGAAGTTCTGCTATTTAGTAATTTTTCTTTTATTTTTTAAATCGCCACTAAATGTGTCCTAGGCCGCGATGCGTTTTGCGACAGATATATTCTTGCCTATTTACGAGTTTGTGCAATTTCCATTGCCTCTCGTAAAAAAAAAAAAAAACAAACATAAAGAGGGATTGTTTTCTGACTGC